AGAAACAATCAGATGACCCTTTTTTCCAGCAGTGATCCAGACCGGACTAGTGCAGTATACATCTCGAGCTCATCTTTAGAGGGCATGTATATTTTTAAACCCCATTTTGTATGTTCGAGTTGTAACTTATTTTAAACGATGGTTGTATAAATTGAATTATTATTTCTGGGAGCTCTTGATTGTAAACTATTTTATTTAAAATTGTGGTTGAGTTATCTTAGCATGAGTTTTTACAAATGATCATTTCAAATTGAAAAATTAAAGAAAAATTTTGGTTAGCCACTTCGGTGGTTCCGTGTGGCATTCAGATCAATTGACTGTGTGTCATACCGGTCCAGGGTGTTACATTCCTGATGTGGAAAAATGGTTTCGATAAGTCGATTTGAAAATCAATTAATTTATTTGAATTAAATTTTATCATTTTGAATTATTATGATTATTTTGATATTTTATCTCATCTTAAATTGTTATAATTCCTTACTAAGTTATACTTAGCGTGTGATGATTTTCATGCGTAGGTAAAGAAAAGGACAAGGAATGGAAGCAAGGAGCATTGAAAACATCTCTTCTTGGGAAATCATACCGACCTATAGTATCAGCAAGACATCTTATCTTTGAATTATTAGTAACATGTATATTATAATGTTATGGTTGCTCTAATAGACTAATTTAAAACGGTTGATAGTAGATATATGTAGTAGTATAAATGAATAGGTGAGTTCAATAACTCATTTCCATTAATTGTTATTAGTGCAAGAGGTGGGAAAGAGCTCTAAGGGAAGAGCCAATGAGAAACTTTCTCTTGGATAGTTGAAGGTGTTTTCCCAACCCTTAGCCGAAAGATAACACAATTCTAACCTTTCTCTACTTCTTGTAGGTGAGCATGTGTAGTTTTGACGCTTGTATGTTGTACGAGTTTTTGTGTGCACTTTGGGGTTCAAAGTATGAAATTGGGATATGTTGTTCTTTATGCGTAAATTAATGACTTTTCAAGTCCCTTAAGTACTGAATAAGCTTTAATAACCATTTGGGGGCCTTGGGATAACATTAGAAGATATTTGGGAGAGTTTCTTTGGGAGAAATAGAGTTTTCAGGACAGAGGGTATCGGTACCTGTCGTGAAAGAGAAAAACCAATAGAGTTTGTAAAGAGAGTATCGATACTTCCATAGGGTTATCGATATTGTTCGTGTGGTGTTGATACTCGGAGACCCAAATTAGATTCCAATATGCAATTTTGGTAAGGGAGTAACTATACCCAAGGTAGAGTATCGATACTCCCTTTAGGGGTATCGATACTGTGATATTTTTAAAACATCAAATACAATTTTGGTATCAATAATCAGACGAGTATCGATACTGAGGATGGTGAGTATCGATACTCCCAAGAGAGTATCGATACTAAGATTAATTTCCAAACATTGAAGGCAAATTTGGTACCGATACTCTGGGAGTATTAATACCACTAGGAGGTGAGTAGCAATACCAAAGGGTGAGTATCAGTAACAACGCGAAATATTGGACAATAAGACTAGTTTGAGTTAGAGGAAAGATGTTGCGATTTTATCAAGAAAGGATACTCTTCCACAAGAATACAAGTGAAAACCTTAATAATTGTGTGATATCATAAGGTCTTAATATGGTAAGATTCCATAAGACTTATGCTCTTTTATGATGCTCGGGAAACAATGAGGACGCCGAGTTACTTAAAGGACGTTGGTTTGATTTTATGAGGATTATCCGAATATATCCAATCAAGTGTTGGTGCACTTAAATTGCTATTTGGATGTTGCACCGATACTATGTGACTCGGGAAAATCCTAAGTACTCTAGAGGAGTAGACTAGCCGAGTAAGCTCTGATGCTAAGTGACCCGAACTCAGCTCGAAGTATAGGGATATGCTGATGTTTTGTGACCCAGGTCTCTCCTAAAGTTCTTAAGTAGGCAAAGAAGGGTGTGAGTTCTGTGATGCTAAGCGACCTCGAGCTACACTACGATGCCTTTGGTTGTTGTGTGAGTGTATGCAAATGTTCATAACCATACTTGTAGCATGCTCATATATTGAATGCATGTAGTATAGTTAGGTTATTTGTGTGGCACTGAGCTTGTGAGCTTAGCGTATGAAATGTGTTTCCGTGCACAGGTTCTTAGGTGACAATTGAGGAGCTCATCGTCAAACTTGGATTCCAGACTCCTTTGTCTTTTCAGAGTATGTCTCGATTATTGTAGAGGGCATGTATGGTCATATACCCTTATTATATGTTAATTCGTAAACTCTATTATTTTGTACTAAACCATTTGGATACTGATGTTGGGAATTCCCCATATTTTTAAATACTATGTTCTGTTAACGTAATTTAAATTATATACTCTTATTTTAAGTCGTGAACTCTATTATTTTGTATTAAACCATTTGGAGACTGATGTTGGGAATTCCTCATATTTTTAAATACTATATTTTGTTAATGTATTTTAAATTGGGTTTATATCACATGTTTATGTTACATTAATCAAATGCTTTTAAAAAAATATTAATCACTTAGTTGATTTCGTGTGACATTCTAATCCACTGGATTTTGGGTATATGTAGGATTTGTTGAGTACCCAAGAAATGAGAAGCAAAATAAACACAAATGATAAGTTCACGTGTATCTTTTAGTATTTGAGCTCCATAAATCCTCAAAAACATGAAGAAACTTGGAAAAATCAAACCATACCCGTTTCAAATATCACTTCAACCGGACACTCCCATTGAATATGAGTAACATTTAAAAAAAATTATTTTTCTTTAAATATACCGTGATTATAAAATAATATATATTATAAGAACTTTCAATCATTTGACAATGAACAAACATCTTTACAAACGATGTGTTCAAACTTAAAACCTCTTGGTTCGTTCTGGTGAATCTGTGTAACATACGTTCTAATCACAATTCCAGTCCTAGACACCAAACTGACAGCAGATACTGAACCCCAGACACGATGGGCCACGGCTTTAGTTAAAGATCTGCTTTTTACTGCAGAACAAGGCACTCTTGTGTGCCAGCTACCTTACTGTGGTGGGACGTTTCAGTGATGGCATCGTCTTCTTCAAGTGAAGGCTTCTCAAGCGATGTCTCGATGCCATTTTCATAACATCTTCACTGCCTGCAACGGCTTCAAAAATAAGTTCAGTGACTTCACAAAACCTCCTCGGCAAGGAGCCTCCAAGCATTTTCTTCAGATGCTTCATCATAATCCTTCCTCCTTTTTAACACCATATGACCGCTTATTTTCCACACAGCAGGGTTCACCTGGGTGTCCAAAAGCTCCGGATTTACTTCACCCCGTGCTTGTTTCTCAGCATAACACTGTTCCATGTTGCTTGTAAGTACTACCAATTTCATGTAGATGGTAAAATTGTGTCAATAAGACAATAAGGTTCTAGTTTGTTACCCGTGGAAGGAGAAAGATCCGCTTTCTACAATCAGAGATGAGGACATTGTATGGTATGTTGTTTTCTTGGAGGCAAATGCAGGCATCAGATACAGTGTCGGACAAGTTCTGGACAGTGTTACCACCCACGAAAACAAGACCTCTCACTGGATACTTTAAGAGCTCCAAGACAACAACTCCACCGATTAAAGTTGTTAACTTCTTGGTTAGAGCTTTCTCGATGGGGAAGGGCATAGCTAAATAGTAAGCTTGGACCAATTCAAATAGTTAAAACCTTTTTCCTTTCTGTGTGTAATTATATCTCAAAGTACAAGATAAGGAGATAGAATACCTGGAAGTGAAGGTGATTGATGGTAGCAAATGCACCCATGCTGTTGTAACCCAATCTGAAGTACGGATTCCCGGCTTCATCTGCCATATAAAGTGCAAGCAAGAAGCTCTCCCGATCAATCCTCTGGGGTAAGCATTCAAAAATCTGAGGGATCAACAACACGTCCATATTCGATGGGACTAACCTGTAGAAATGTAAATGAAAGATGTTAATCTTATGAGTCTAGCATTCTTCATCAAATCGTTATGTGAATATAGAAAAAGTAAAACTAACATACATTAATGGCAACAACACTTGGAGAATTCTCCACATCAATAGGAGCATTTGGAAAGAAATGAGCTTCATCATCATAACTTGCTTTAAACTGGAAAAGCACCTCTTCTTGCCCAACTTTGGTGAAGTTGAATTTGTTGCCATCAAAGGGTTGAAGCACCTTATCAACTTGGAACACAGTTGGCCACATCTTAAGGTGACGGCCCTCATTCAGTTGGGCAATAAAGCCATATTCACCAGGAATCGCCTAAACAAAGAGAACAATGGGAAATTTTCATAGTAACACCACCACAACTCAATTAACCAGAAAATTTCTAGTTTTAACAATTGGCAGATAAGCAAATAAAGCAAGGAAATGTAAAATGGAGTCCAAAATAAGACCTTGGTTTCGCAGGCAGTGACATCATAGAGAAAGAACCCTCTTTGCATCCGATCCTCCCACTAACATAAAACCAAAATTTCCTTCCAAGCTTACAATTTGTAAATACGAAAATTACTAACCATAACAATGATCTTTCATCTCGTCCACCACGAGCTTAAAATCAAAATTTACCTCCCAAAGAACGAGTGTGTCGAGAAAAGAAACTGGAGGCTCTTTGTTCTCAGTTTTATGTCTTCTTCAAGCTCCATGTTGTTCACCTTCTTTAAAGCATATTCAGTTACACCTCATTTCTATTACAACTAATCAAACCAAGCAAGGTTTTCAAAGAAATATGAACAAATACTTGGAATGCAGCAGCTTCTGAGGCAATTCCTTCTGCATCCGTCCCTACGACGAGCAGAATCCTCCGTCTCATCCTTTTGGTAATTCAAAACAACAGTGGGAACCCTCTTAATCCTGAACATCATCTTGGCTACAATTTACCTTCTTTTTTTATCCAATAAATATCAAATAAAGGAATACAACAGCCTCTTTTTTCTTCTTACGAGCGATCTAAAAATGAACAGAAGGCAAAGCTCCACGCCCACCGTGCGGCGAAGGGTTGCTCTCGATCACACAACCCATACTTTGTACAGTATGTGCATGATTAACAGGTCGAGAAACTTCGTGTATAGCCGTGATGTCCACAATTTGTCTAACCCTGGGTATTACCCCCAACAAAACAAAACAATTCAAAATCAATATAACCAAATACCTAGGCCTGTAAATGAACTGAACGTTCAACGAACCGTTCATGAACCGTGCGGCGGGAAGTTCGTTTATGTGCGTTTATTTATTAAATGAACGAACATGAACAAGATTTTGTGTTCGTTTAATTAAATGAACGAACATGAACATAGGTCTCGTTCGTTCATTTATGTTCGTGAACGTTCGGTTATGTTCGTTTATGTTCGTTCGGTTATGTTCGTTTATGTTCATTCATTTATGTTTAACCCAATATTCTTAAATCAATTTTGGTGATCAATTTGTAAGTATCTTAAAAATATTAATTAATCTGATATTCTGATGACCAATTTATGTTCCTATATTCATTTTCCCCCTTTTTTCCCAAACCCTAGTGTTCACTGGAGAGTAGAGACGATCGCTGGAAGCTTCAAAACAAGTTATATTATAGTGCAATCTGAAGTTTTACAGGTCTATTTTCATCTCTTTCTTTGTTTTATTTGGCTTAATAGTTGATATGTAAAGTTATTGTGGGTATCTTCACATCTAAAACTCAAGAAAATATCATATTTCTTTCTAGAAATAGATGGGAAGATAAATGTAATAATCGGAAGTATATGAGCATCAGTAAAGAGAAAAATATATAGAATTTGTCATAAAACAAAACAAAGGTTTCTATGCAATTTCCGAAAAAGAGTGTAATAGCGAAAGTAATGGGTTTTCCAGGAAGAATCCATTAATAAGTAGAAAATACATTTTGACAATGAACTTTTGTTTTCATAGTTTTTGTGTGACCTTTAGTTGTGGAGTAGACTTTAAGTATGTTAAAATTTTGAATGGTGGTTTAGCAATAATATCAGTTACAATATGTAGCATCGAAGGGATTTCGGATCTATGTTATTGCCTTGTAGTCCAATTTGTACCGTTCGAAATCTTTATGCTGTTAAATTTTCTACTCTGCCAATGGAAAGGACCATTATTAACAAACCTCACTAAAGTCTGACATTGATGTCACAAAACTTTTAGCCAGCGAATTTATTAAAATAACGTAGTGGAAAATGATTGTTCATATGTAATCATGGACCACTAAGATAAATGTTATAGCGTTAAATTAAAGTCGTGTGAATCATTTAATATCTTTAAAAGATCGATCGAAATATTTGATATCTTCAAACATTTCATCACTGCTAATCAGCTCTTACGCTATTTATCACTGTAGATTTGGTTGATTTACATTGTCGACTATTTTTCATGAAAGAACAATGGAAGGTAGGGTCTCCAACGTTTATGTTCGTGTTCATTTATGTTCGTGTTCGTTTATGTTCGTGTTCGTTTATGTTCGTTTATTTATTAAATGAACGAACATGAACAAGTTATATTCCTTAATAAACGAACATGAACAAAAAAAATTTTGTTCATTTATGTTCGTGTTCGTTTATGTTCGTTTATTTATTAAATAAACGAACATGAACATACCTCCGTTCGTGTGCGTTCGGTTCGTTTATAGGCCTACAAATACCCAACCTCCTCTAGGGATGGCAACGGGCCGGGTTCGGGCCGGGTATTGGTCCCCCCGTCCCCGTCCCCGTTTAAAAAACCGGTACCCATCCCCGTTTAAAAAATCGCAGGGATTTAAACGGGGATCCCCGTCGGGTAATCGGGGAAAACCGCGGGGAAACGGGTATCCCCGTTTAGCATAAACGGTTATTTAAACGGGTATTGGGCTGGGTATTGGGTCGGGTATTGGGCCGAGAATCGGGTCGGGTATATATATATATATATATTTAAATTAAATATATAAATATATATTTTTTATTTAAATTAAATTTATTAATATTATATATATATATAAATAATTATTTTTAATATTTATCGGGTCGGGTATCGGGGCGGGTAATCGGGTAATCGGGGCGGGGATTACCAAACCCGTCCCCGTCCCCGTCCCCGTTTAAAATAAATGGGTTTTCCCCGTCCCCGTCCCCGTCCCCGTTTATCATCCCCGAACCAGACCCGTTTAATTCGGTTTTCGGTTTTCCCCGTCGGGTTCGGGTTTTTTTGCCATCCCTAACCTCCTCAGCTTCAAGAAAAAACAGTATCGGACTTTTATCAAACACCTGAAGTGCATGTAAAAAAAAAAGGAAATGAAACCCAAATTCAATTAATCAATTAAATTGTATTGTTTAAAATCTATTAATCGAATTTTTTCTTTTAACCGTTAAACGAAATAAAATTTTTAATTTTTTTAACCAAATCAAACTAAGTCTAGTTATTGGTAGGTTAATCGAATTAATCGAAATTTATAAATAATATATATTATATATTAAACATTAATTTTTTTTATTTTTTTGGTTAGTTCATTTGATTAATTCGATAAAAATTAAAGTTTAAACATTCTAAATAATATATATAATATTAAAAATTAATAATTTTGATTAATTCAGTTAATTTGGTTAATTAGTCGATTAAATTGAATTAACTTATAACTGAATTTTAAAAAACCATTATTCGTTAACCAATTGAAGCCAAAATTAACCAACCGATTAACCAAAAAAAAATTAGTTTGATCAATTAATTTGATTTTAACCGAATTATAAACATTCCTTAATTGTTTTAACTCTCGACCAAGTGCAAGTACTTGATAAAGAGACGGTGTTGATGCCTGATATCATCTTAGTATCTAATTATTACTCTTGTTTCATTTTAATTATTAATAATTAATTTTTTTAAAAATATATCTAATATTATGTTTTAATAATGACAAAAGAAAAATGGATGTGCTAAATGAATAGAGGAGAGGTAAATCAGCAAAGTAAAGGTAAGCTCCTCCCCGGAACACCATATGAAAGAGTAAATTCAACGGAGTCGGTATCATTGAGAAATAGACATCTCAGAGATAGATAGATATTTCCTTTTTTAATATGTAATTTCGGGGGATTACCGCTTTTAGAATGCAATCATCGTTCTGAGAAACAAGTAAAGTGAATGCCTTAAGCAGCGAACACAACTAATGAGTCTCATGGGCAAGATATCCTAGATTCGCTGATTTTTATGTTTTATTAAATCGAAGAAAGTATGTTTGAAGGGGGCGTAAGCGGAGTGAAGTCAACAGATTGAATTTTCTTCTCTCGAATCGTCTTTGGATGTACGAATCTCATAGCCCCTTGACCTCTTCTCTCAAAGAAGACGCTGTGTGGGCAAGTTGATCAGACTCAGAGCACTAAAATAAAATCAAAACAAAACCATGCTTGAAGACTTCCAGGAGAGCACTGCCAGTGTGATTGCATAGAGTTTTACTGCACTGTATTAATTGTATTTTCTCTCTTTCATTTAAAAAATAAAATAAAAATCAAAACATAATATTAAATATAACTTGAGACAAAATTACAATTAGATAAATAAAACAAAAAAAAATAATAATAAGATATTAACAAATAGTTTACCCTATAATTTTTTTGTTGAGATATTTTCTTCTTTTTTGTTGTCCTAAAAGTTTATAAATAAAGTTAGTTTTGGAATATATTTTAAAAGGTCAAATTATGGGATTATACTAAAATTGTATGATTTAATCTATGTAATTTAATTAGGCATCATTCTATCTAGAGATGACAAATGGGTCATTCGGATTGGGTTTAGGTCGAGTAAATTTGGGTCTAGATTATATTCGGTTTAATTTTGTTCAGATCAGATCTGATCTAGTTCGGGTGTATGGTGAATCGGATTGGGTCAGGTATCAGGTCGAGTCAATTTTCGGGTCGGGTGATTATTGGATCAGTTTTTTTTCGGTTCGGATCAATATCAAATCGATTGATTTTTGGGTCGGGTCAGTATCGGGTCGGGTCGATATCGGATCGAATGATTTTTGGGTCGGGTTGATACCGGATCAGTTAGATTTTGGGTCGGGTCATTATCAGATCGATTGATTTTCGGTTTAGGTTAACCTTTATATCAGATCAATTCGGGTTGAATTGGTTATGAGTATAATCAAAATCAAATATATATAGAATAATTAATATATAATTGTAAAAATATGTCTTCTTATTTGTTAATTTTATCATTCATGTTTAATTTCAATTCTTAATCGTTTAATATTTTGAATTATATCATCATCTAGAGATGATAAATCGATAATTTGACACAAATACAATTCTATAATACGTGTTAGAATTTATTATCAAAATTTTATATTGATCTCGTATGAAAAATTTATAATGAGAATTATTTGATAAAAAATAATTTTTTATTAAAAATTTTATTTCCAATTATAATATTAAATTTTAAAAATTAATACATAACTTTATTTGTTAAATTTTAATCGTAACATGAGTAGACTTTATATAATTTTTACTATAAATCTAATATTATTTTATTTGTTTTAGTTTTTTTATTTTTAGGGTTAATTACTCCATTCATACATGAATTATACCCGATTTTCAGTTTCATACATAAAATTTAAAAATTCTTAATTAACTACATAATATTTTCTGCTGTGGGTATACCCATTTATGTCCTTGAAGATGACGTGGAACCCTCTGACCTATAACAAATTAACATGTGACACTTAAAAAAACATGTTTTTTAGGTAAATTATATAATTTATAATTCAACTACCTTCTCACTTTTATTTTAATTACTAAAATTTAATTTTTTTAGACAGTAAAGAGCAGTGCACCATGAAATCCATATATTTTTTAGTCACTCTTATGTTTTACCTTCAGCTATCCACTAGCACCTAGCCCCCTTCAATTCAAAATTCTAATTTTAGGGGTTGTTTGTTTTTCTCTTAATAGAATCATTCAGCGTTGAATGCTGAACCGTTCAGTATTTAGCGCATTTATTTCGTACCTCTGACTGATTCAGCAATGACTGATTCAGCAATGACTGATTCAGTAAAACAGTGTTGAATGATTCAACACAGAAATACATTCTCAATGATTCAGAGCTATTATCAAACAACATATCAGATTCAGAGTTAATTCATATAGAGCCTCTGAATTATTCAACGCTTAATCATTCTAAAATAAACAAACAACCTCTTACTCTAAAAAGAACCAACGTTCCGTCATCGCTCTACGATCTTAGTCTTTTTGTTCAGTTCTTTAAATCCTCGCCATAGTATCTTTGACTCCCTCCATTTTTCTCATAATCAAAACCCAACAGTCTTCACGAAAATCTCGCTTAATACAGTACTTTTGATTGTTTCTTGTTGCCTTAGCTCAGTTTTCAGTTTCAATGGCGGATATGGAGGGAGATTCTAAAGGAGTGCCGGTGAAGGAAGTTGATGACGCAGAAGAGATCATGGTTAACAGAATCATTGGAAGGTTAATCTCGATTATAATAATAATAATTATTATTATTATTAATGTGTTTGAAACTGCTTGATTGATTTATTATTATTATTATTATTATTATTATTATTATTATTATTATCATTATCATTATTTTGATATTTTTCAGTGCTCAGAATTGGAGATTTGCAGCAAAGCAGTTTTTGAAAGAGAAAATCGCCTCAGTGACCAAAAAAAAGTTATAATATACGATTTTAACCAACTTTTTTTGGATTTGCCAAAATGACCAACAAAATCGCAACGCGAAATAAAAATCGCAACGCGATCCCCAGAATCGCAAATCAGTTTCCAGAATCGCAACGCGATTCTTGAAAATCGCGATGCGATAGTACAAATTCGCATTGCGATTTTCCATAATCGCAACGCGAATATGAAAATCGCAACGCGAACACATAAATCGCAACGCGTATCCGTAAATCGCAACGTGTATCCGTAAATCGCAACGCGTATGGGTAAATCGCAATGCGTATCCGTATATCGCAACGCGTATCCGTAAATCGCAACGCGTATCCGTAAACCGCAACGTGTATCCGTAAATCGCAACGCGTATCCGTAAATCGCAATGCGTATCCGTAAATCGCAACGCGTATCCGTAAATCGCAACGATAATCCGTAAATCGCAACGCGTATCCGTAAATCGCAACGATAATCCGTAAATCGCAACGAGAATCTGTAAATCGCAACGATAATCCGTAAATCGCAACGAGAATCTGTAAATCACAACACTGAAATTTTGGGTATATAACACTGAAATCATAAACTAAATCCCTAAATCGCAACTCATTCCATCTCCATCTATCACTCTCTCCGGCGACATCCGTTCCTATATCCAACGACATCCTTCCCCATCCGGCAACAGGTCTTAGTTTCGCATCTCGTTTGTTTAGTTACAACCATGAAATCATCTAATGTTGATCATGTTTGGATAGATTTGTGTTTTGGAGGGTCATGGGATAATGTTAATGGTGTTTTACAATATATGCCTTTACCCATAAATCTTCAACTAAAATTGTCTTTACAAAAGTTAACTTATGAAACTCTAATGCTACGTGTTTCAAATAAATTGAATTTAGAGCCCCTAAGTGGATTTAGGCTATCTTATCAGAGAAATGGTAAAGTTTATTTGTTAACCGACAATGAAGATGTTGAACGATTCATTGCTTACATTAGTGTTTCACAAGATGATGTTACATTGTATGTTGTTGAACCTAGAAGTAGTATTGTTGGGTCAGTAGCGGGTAGTAATCAACTAAGTTTTTCTCAAAACCCACAACCTTTCTCTAATCCAAATCCCAATCAACTTTCAGCACCAAATTCCGGTTTTCGTATTGACCAGTTAGACGATGATGAGCCAACAGAAAAAATTGTGAGTACTAGTCAGTATTCGAAATTTGGTCTTGGTCAATATCCGGACTTTGATATTGGTCAATACACGGATTTTGATGATGTTTCAGAAGAAGAAACAGACCATGCGTGTAATGATATTGATATTGGTCAATACCCGAATTTTGATGATGAAACAGCCGTTGCCGAAGAATGTAATGTTGATGATAATGAGGAGGAAGTTACGACTATGAATGAACATGTTGAACATCCATTCTGTAATTCATATAATCCTGAAGAAGAAAAAGAAGAAGAAAAAGTCCCCGAAGAAAAGAAAATGCCACGGGCGTATAACTGGAATATGCCAGAATTACTTCAGATACCGGAAGAAGAGTTGATAAAGAAAGCAGTTGATTGTTACACAAAAGTTATTCGTATCAAGAAAGATGATTGTTTTGATACAAAGGAAGACTTGAAGATAG